TGCTAATAACCATTCTGATATGCTATCAAATGTGGTGTTTTGTTTCCGTTTCTTAATAGCTATGACTCCTCCTTCTGCAGCTTGTAATACTGTCTCTTCATTTACTTGTTTAATATTATTAATTAAGTTTTTATGTATGAATTCTTGTAGATCGATATATAGGCCGAATGCTATTGCTTTCCATAGTTTATTAGGTAAACTGGGCTTTTTTGGAAGCATTTCAATTCTTTTTTGTCTTTCGGACCAGTTTGTGACCTACCATAGTCGGATTTGTTCTGTTTCTATTGCTTTTGGGTTATAAAAGCCTTTAATTGTAGTTATTTTTTCTTTAATTGCATAAGTTAATGCTGGAAACTTTCTGCTAGTTATTTTATAATATGTTGTTTCCTTATTGCTCTCAAGTTTATTGTCTTGGTTTTCTGAATTTAACCTTAAAATTAAGTTGTTAATTATGGGTGTTGAAGGGCAATTACCTTGAGCTGTTCCTGTAATTTGTTCCTCTGTTACTTCTTGTTGGTTATTGTGAAGATTTTCATGTGGTTGTTGTATCGTTGTACCATATTCTGCTGGCATGTTTTGGGTATCATTTCTTGTGTTAGTTTGTTGTTGTTGTGTGAGTCTTTGATTAATTGTTTCTATTAGTTGAGTATTCCATTCACGTTGTATTTGTGATTGTTGGTTCATGAATTGTTGCATGTTGCTCATTATTGATGCCATTGTTATCTGAATTGTTGTTTCGATATATGCTTTCATTCGAGATTCTATATCAGTTATTGGGTCCTGTGCCTCTTGGCTGCCTGAACCTGCTACTGTTTCAACTGATTCCTCAGATGCTATACTGTCACTTCTAGCTTTAGTAGTGTTTTGTATTTTTTGTTTGTTCATTTGCGAATTGGTCTGTTGTGGATGATGGATGCGAGTCGGGCGGTTTGCCGTAGCATGTCTGTTCTTATACATTTCATTAACAATAGAGTTATTAATAGCAATTACCTCATTGGTATTGATTTAAGCAGTTAATTAAATCGCACTTATCTGGTTTATGCGTTCATCATGTGGCATCGGATTATTTGTTTGCTTAATTAAGTTCGATGGCTGCAGTTAAGATTTTAACCGGATTGCTTACGGCATGTCCTTACTTAGCCATGTTTTCGATCTGTTGACTTGCCGTCAACTTGAATGAAAAGTACTGTTACGCAAACTTGTTTTTTTTTTTTTTTTTTTTAGAAATATAGCTTTTTCCACCAATTTTTACTAGAAGCGATTCTGACAATGCCAGTATGTAACACAAAGACATTACATTAAATTTTTGGCATTTTAAAACGAACCAGCTAATAAAAATCTACAGTTTTTTCGATTAAAAGTTTCTAACTTCACGTGAACAAATTATAAAGTGTTAGATATTGTAACCGGGAAATATGACCAGGCCTGAGGTCATTTGGACAATCCGCAGCATAATTTTCATTATAATGATTATAACGATTATAATGATTATAATAATTATAATCGTTATACTCATTATAATGAGTATAATCGTTATAATCATTTTAACGATTATAACGTGTATAACGATTATAATCGTTATAATCATTATAACGATTATAATCATTATAATCTGTACTATGTTCTATTTTATATAAATAAAGGGCATTTCGCCCCTCTGCTCAATATCGAGCACTTAGCAAGATAATTCGAACAATAAATTATCAAGTGTTCTGTCCCTAACACATAAATTCCCAATATAAAATCGCTAAAACCACTTACCTGATCTTTTACATGTAAAAGACTTTCGCTAATTGTATAATCTTGGTCCCGTGATAACGTTACGCTGCCCAAATTACTCTTTATAATAGAGTAATAGTCGTATTATTATTGAGTAAGGTAGAACTTGCCGCTTAATCTTGTGTTTGATTATCCTAAAGGTAGAGGATAAGTCAGTTTGATCAAGGGAAGTTGAAGACTCAATAACGAAAGAAGACCTGCCACGTGACTTGAGTCCGGAACAATAACCAAGTCTTATATTTCCACTCGACAAATCTAAGCGCCTCTCTCGTAGGTTGTTGAGTTACGTGACACGAAGATCAAACAATTCGAGCGACTGACTCGCCGTTTCCGAGTGTGACAATATCAATCGGTTTTACAAAAAAACCATTGCGAGATAACGTGAAGTTAATCTTTAGTTTTAACCAATCAAATTTTAAATGTCGATCATTTTTTTGGCCAATCAAAACAAATTCCATCATGCTCTCTCCCATTCAGTCGTAACACCAATCGTTACAACTTTAGATCAACAATGAATTATATGGGATAGTGAGTCGGTAAATTTGTTGCCGATTCGATAAGTTTTTTATCGCCGATAAAAAAAAAACCATATCAATTTTTATCAGTATTTATGAGAACAGCTGTAAAACACTGGTCAATTAGAGGTTTTACGGCTATTGTCATAAATTCTGGGACAACTGATAAGTTTTTTTCTTATTTGCCGATCCGATAAAAAAAACGGCATCAATTTTTTTTAGTGGTGTTATGCTTATACGTAGACATAAGTCTGATTAGTTAATTTTGTGATAATTAACCAATCAAATTATAAAAGATTCGTTCGTTTTAGTACAGGCAAAAAAACAAAGAATTAATTAGTTTCATATATTTAAAAAAATAGGTAGATACTCGTAAAGTGGGGTAACAATGATATTTATTATGAATAAACTCAAAACTTATTAATACAATATACAATATATAGCCAAAGCTCATTACGATTGACAAACCCCAAACAAGCCGTAAGAACAGAATATATTCAAATAATAAACCCGGACCTCTTACACTATAAGCTTATTCCTATCAAATTAAAAAGTTAGTAATTTAAGTTTATTTGAATCTAACTGCTAACGTATTCAGGTAGTTTTAAACAAAAACGCTTCCGGTTACCTTATTCTACAATAAAAAGCGAATAAACTTGTTTTCTAAGTGAAGTTCTCCGGGAGTCTGATCTTTTTTTGATGCCTTTGTACAGTGAACGTTAGTACTTCGCTGAAGTTATTAATGATATTTGGAGTGATATTTCATTAGTGAAATGTTACGTTCTTAAAAAATACTGTAAAACATATAAATTAGTTACCCGGGAAATTGATCTACACTAGCCAATCAGACAAACTTTTGCATGAGTATTATGCGCATTCATGCGCATAAAATCATCTTTAATCACGTACGACATGAGCAACCATCTAATCACTGATTCGGAAACAATCAGTCAGTTCCTCTAAATTAATTATTGACAATTAGACGGTAATAAACCTACACTTTTATTATATTAACTAATATTATTTAACGTATAGAGAAATTATTATACGTAATCAATTAGGGCAACAATGGCAGTTCCGGCTCTTTTACAGCCGATTATTGCTTTAATAAAGCTGTTACAAGGTGAAAATTCAAGCACTCAAGAAAATGTGTCTAAAATCGAGCAAGTGATCCAAACACCCGAAGGGAAGGAGCTTGTTCCTCTGAATGAACGGCTCCTTTTACGTGGGGGTTCTGATGAAACGAAGTCAATTATCATGAAAGAAATTGCTGATATTTATATTAAACTTTCTGAAAGAATTGAGCCAATGATGGATTGGCACCATACTGTTGGCTACCGAAGAGATGCAGAAGCTTATTACCAAAGTGCTTTAAAAGTTAATCAACAAAATAAAGAAGCGTTATTGGGTGAAGCGCGCTGCAAATTAGAGTTAGGTAAATACAAACAAGCCATCGACTTGTTGGAAAAAAATCAGGACATATTAAAAGGAATTCCTGACTATTGGGTCATCCAAGGAAATGCTTGGTACAGACGTCTTGAGCTGGATTACCAAAAGGCTCATGCTTGTGGCGAATTTGCAAGAAAATTAGATCCACTTAGTAAGGAAGCAGCTAAACTAGAAAAAATTGCTGGAAAGTTGAAAGAATATACTTTAAATCAACAGATTTATAACTATCAAGAACCTCTTTTAGGGGAATCGGTCTTCGGAACCAAATATGAAGAGCGTATTCATACGAGTCCAACTTATAATATTCTTTCTATTGATGGTGGTGGGGTGCGCGGTGCCATTCCAATGTTATGTCTCGCTGAATTAGAGCATCGCACCCGTAAACCTATTGCGAAGTTATTTCAAACTATTGCGGGAACATCAATAGGAGGTATTATTGCAGCAGCTCTGGCAACACCCGCACCCATTTATTCTGGTAATACTCGGAAGCCTTATTGGACAGCTAAAGCGCTGTTAGAAGAGTCAATGAAAGTTAAAATATTCGTGGATAAAAAATTATGGGCTCCATATTGGGCTCCATATTATTCATCAAAAGGTCGCGAAGCTCTATGTAACAAACTGTTTGATAGTAATTCTTTAAAAGATACCTTAACAGATATTATCATTCCAGTGACATATGATGAAATTGGGTTAGTATCATATTATTTTACTAGCGCTAAGGCACGTTGGGATCCTTTGCAAGATATTTCTTTGTTTGATGTAGGAATGGCGACTTCAGCAGCGCCTACTTACTTTCAGCCTCATGAAATAAAAAGAAAAGAACGTATTCAAAAGAAAGGTAAATTTGTAGATGGTGGGATACATTGTAATAATCCTGCACAGTTGGCTTATTCTGAAGTATCTTACATAAAAGAAGTGAAAAAAATTTCAGTGCTGTCATTGGGGACAGGTAAATCTGTGGGAGACCCTATTTTAACTGAAAGGCAAGGTTTGTGGTTTTGGGCAAGGAATTTCCCAACTATAGCTTTACATGCGCAAGAAAGTCAAGTAGATCAAGCTATGTGGGAGAGACTAGGTAATAATTATCAGAAGGAGGAGTCATAGCTATTAAGAAACGGAAACAAAACACCACATTTGATAGCATATCAGAATGGTTATTAGCA